TGTGCAGACGGCAAAGGAACTGAACTGAGACTACGCCGAGCCTTAAAAGTCGCGAACGACATCTTCGTAGGCAACAAACTCAGAGATTGAAGAGTAGGAGTGATCTCTGGGGTTACTCTTCGAGCGTCTGGTCTCTTGACCTCTGCGTGTGGGGGATCTTCCAGCCTCATCACCCGACGCTCGACTCTCATTGTGACCGTCGCGGTTCTGCGCGGGCTCATACTCTCCGCCCGCCCGTTTCCTCCCGCAACACCTGGGGGTGCGAACCCGGGTCTCCAGTGTAACGCAACAGGGAACCTGCCGCATGAGCTAAAGGAGACCTCCCCCAGCCCAAGTAGCTGAGGTCCCTGCTACGCGTGGGGCGGGGGGGGTGGGGTGGGGTGATGACGTCACCGTCACGTGACGTCACGTCAGGGAAAACAGCTCCTCTCGCGGAGAAGCTGCCACCCGCACGTGTGCAATCACAGTTTACGTAATGCCCGTCGTACGAGGAGCAGACGGTGGTCTCCCACACTTGCACCCGGCGTTTTTACGAAGAGACGGAAGTTCTAGAGCTTGAATGAAGACGTCACCCTTTCTTTTCAGGAAGTCAGGTTGCGGTATGTTGTGCCGGCCGAAACTGGCAAGAAAGAATGGAAATAATCTTGCAAAGACAGCAACGGACGGTGACGTTCAGTCTCAGCTCATTGGTGAGCGCCTGCGTTCAGGCACACTAATTATTCCCACACCTGTCTGTAAATGACAAGTAGTCACAAGTAGAGCTTGTGAGCACGACTTATGCACAGTCTCATCTTATCAGTCAGCGTAGAAAAAGAATGATTCCTTAGCGCTCTTCTGGACCCTCCACTCAGAGCTCTTTACAGGTCTTGGGGATCCCCTCCACCCCCACCAGTGTGTCCCCCCACCTGGATGAAGCTCCAGTTTGCTCACACACAGCAGCTCTCAGTGGGGAGGAGAGCAGAGTGATGAAGCCAGTTCAGAGAGGGGGGTTATTAGGAGGCCATGATGGGTAAAG